ACAACGCCAATACAACGCCAATACAACGCCAATACAACGACAATACAACGACGATACAACGACAATACAACGACAATACAACGACAATACAACGACAATACAACGACAATACAACGACAATACAACGACAATACAACGCCAATACAACGACAACACAACGACAATACAACGACAAACAACGACAAACAACAACAATACAATACAACAATACAATACAACGACAATACAACGACAATACAACGACAATACAACGACAATACAACGACAATACAACGACAATACAACGACAATACAACGACAATACAACGACAATACAACGACAATACAACGACAATACAACGACAATACAACCACAATACAACCACAATACAACGAAAACGACAACGACAATACAACGACAACGGCAACGACAACGACAATACAACGACAATCCAACGACAATAGAACGACAATACAACGACAATACAACGACAATACAACGACAATACAACGACAATACAACGACAATACAACGAGAATACAACGACAATACAATGACAATACAACGACAATACAACAACAATACAACGACAATCAACGACAATACAACGACAATACAACGACAATACAACGACAATACAACGACAACGACAACGACAACGACAATACAACGACAACAACAACAACAACAACAATACAACGACAATCCAACGACAATAGAACGACAATACAACGCGACAATACAACGGCAATACAACGGCAATACAACGACAATACAACGACAAAACAACGAGAATACAACGACAATACAACGACAATACAACGACTATACAACGACTATACAACGACTATACAACGACTATACAACGACAATACAACGACAATACAACGACTATACAACGACTATACAACGACTATACAACGACTATACAACGACAATACAACGACAGTACAACGACACTACAACGACAATACAACGGCTGTACAACGACTATACAACAACTAAACAACGACAATACAACGACAATACAACGACAATACAACGACAATACAACGACAATACAACAACAATACAACGACAATACAACGACAATACAACAACAATACAACGACAATCAACGACAATACAACGACAACGACAATACCACGACAATAGAAGGACAATACAACGACAATACAACGACAATACAACGACAATACAACGACAATACAACGACTATACAACGACTATACAACGACTATACAACGACTATACAACGACAATACAACGAAAATACAACGACAATACAACGACTATACAACGGCTATACAACGACTATACAACGACAATACAACGAAAATACAACGACAATACAACGACTATACAACGGCTATACAATGACTATACAACGTCTATACAACGTCTATACAACGACAATACAACGACTATACAACAACTATACAGCGACAATACAACGACTATACAACGGCTATACAACGGCTATACAACGACTATACAACGACTATACAACGACTATACAACGACTATACAACGACAATACAACGACAATACAACAACAATACAACGGCAATACAACGGCAATACAACGACAATACAACGACAATACAACGACAATACAATGAGAATACAACGACAATACAACGACAATACAACGACAATACAACGACAATACAACGACAATACAACGACAATACAACGACTATACAACGACTATACAACGACAATACAACGACAATACAACGACAATACAATGTCAATACAACGACAATACAACGACAAAAAAATGATAATACAACGACTATACAACGACAAGACAATGACAAGACAACGACAATACAACAACAATGCAACGACAACGACAACGACAACGACAACGACAATACAACGACAATACAACGACAACGACAATACAACGACAACAACAATACAACGACAATACAACGACAATAGAATGACAATACAACGACAATACAACGACAATACAACGACAATACAACGACTATACAACGACAATACAACGAAAATACAATGACAATACAACGACTATACAACGACTATACAACATCTATACAACGTCTATACAACGTCTATACAACGACTATACAACGACTATACAGCGACTATACAGCGACTATACAACGACTATACAACGGCTATACAACGGCTATACAACGACTATACAACGACTATACAACGACTATACAACGACAATACTACGACAATACAACGACAATACAACGACAATACAACAACAATACAACAACAATACAACGACAATCAACGACAATACAATGACAATACAATGACAATACAACGACAACAACAACAACAATACAACGACAATAGAATGACAATACAACGACAATACAACGACAATACAACGACAATACAACGACAACGTCAACAACAACGACAACGACAATACAACGACAATCCAACGACAATACAACGACAATACAACGACAATACAACGACAATACAACGACAATACAACGACAACGACAACGACAACGACAACGACAACGACAACGACAACGACAATACAACGACAATACAACGACAATACAACGACAATACAACGACAATACAATGACAATACAACGACAATACGACGACAATACAACGACAATACAACGACAATACAACGACAATACAACGACAATACAATGACAATACAACGACAATACAACGACTATACAACGACAATACAACGACTATACAACGACTATACAACGACTATACAACGACTATACAACGACTAGACAACGACTATACAACAATACAACGAAAATACAACGACAATACAACGACTATACAACGGCTATACAACGACTATACAATGTCTATGCAACGTCTATACAACATCTATACAACGACTATACAACGACTATACAGCGACAATACAACGACTATACAACGACTATACAACGACTATACAACGACTATACAACGACTATACAACGACTATACAACGACAATACAACGACAATACAACGACAATACAACGACTATACAACGACTATACAACGACAATACAACGAAAATACAACGACAATACAACGACTATACAACGGCTATACAACGACTATACAACGACAATACAACGAAAATACAACGACAATACAACGACTATACAACGGCTATACAACGACTATACAACGTCTATACAACGTCTATACAACGACAATACAACGACTATACAACGACTATACAACGACTATACAACGACTATACAACGACTATACAACGACTATACAACGACAATACAACGACAATACAACGACAATACAACGACAATACAACGACAATACAACGACAATACAACGACAATACAACGACAATACAACGACAATACAACGACAATACAACGACAATACAACGACAATATACAACGACTATACAACGACTATACAACGACTATACAACGACTATACAACGACTATACAACGACTATACAACGACTATACAACGACTATACAACGACTATACAACGACAATACAACGACAATACAACGACAATACAACGACAATACAACGACAATACAACGACAATACAACGACAATACAACGACAATACAACGACAATACAACGACAATACAACGACAATACAACGACAATACAACGACAATACAACGACAATACAACGACAATACAACGACAATACAACGACAATACAACGACAATACAACGACAATACAGCGACAATACAGCGACAATACAACGACAATACAACGACAATACAACGACAATACAACGACAATACAACGACAATACAACGACAATACAACGACAATACAACGACAATACAACGACAATACAACGACAATACAACGACAATACAACGACAATACAACGACAATACAACGACAATACAACGACAATACAACGACAATACAACGACAATACAACGACAATACAACGACAATACAACAACAATACAACGACAATACAACGACAATACAACGACAATACAACGACAATACAACGACAATACAACGACAATACAACGACAATACAACGACAATACAACGACAATACAACGACAATACAACAACAATACAACGACAATACAACGACAATACAATGACAATACAACGACAATACAACAACTATACAACAACAATACAACGACAATACAACGACAATACAACGACAATACAACGACAATACAACGACAATACAACTACAATACAACGACAATACAACGACAATACAACAACAATACAACGACAATACAACGACAATACAACGACAATACAACGACAATACAACGACAATACAACGACAATACAACGACAATACAACGACAATACAACGACAATACAACGACAATACAACGACAATACAACGACAATACAACGACAATACAACGACAATACAACGACAATACAACGACAATACAACGACAATACAACGAAAATACAACGAAAATACAACGACAATACAACGACAATACAACGACAATACAACGACAATACAACGACAATACAACGACAATACAACGACAATACAACGACAATGCAACGACAATGCAACGACAATGCAACGACAATGCAACGACAATGCAACGACAATGCAACGACAATACAACGACAATACAACGACAATGCAACGACAATGCAACGACAATACAACGACAATACAACGACAATACAACGACAATACAACAACAATACCGACTATACAACGACTATACAACGACAATACAACGACAATACAACGACAATACAACGACAATACAACGACAATACAACGACAATACAACGACAATACAACGACAATACAACGACAATAGAATGACAATACAACGACAATACAACGACGATACAACGACAAGACAACGACAATACAACGACAATACAACGACAATACAACGACAATACAACGACAATACAACGACAATACAACGACAATACAACAACAATACAACGACAATACAACAACAATACAACAACAATACAACGACAATACAACAACAATACAACGACAATACAACGACAATACAACGACAATACAACGACAATACAACGACAATACAACGACAATACAACGACAATACAACGACAATACAACGACAATACAACGACAACGACAACGACAACGACAATACAACGACAATACAATGACATTACAACGACAATACTACAACTACAATACAACGACAATACAACGACATTACAACGACGATACAATGAAAATACAACAACAATACAACGACAATACAACGACAATACAACAACAACGACAACGACAACGACAACGACAATACAATGACAACGGCAACGACAACACAAAGACAATACAACGACAATACAATGACAATACAACAATACAACGACAATACAACGACAATACAACGACAATACAACGACAATACAACAACGACAATACAACGACAATACAACGACAATACAACGACAATACAACGACAATACAACGACAATACAATGACAATACAACGACAATACAACGACAAACAACGACAATACAACGACACACAACGACAACGACAATACAACGACAATCGACAACGACAATACAACGACAATACAACGACAACAACAACGACAATACAATGACAATCGACAACGACAATACAAAGACAATACAACGACAATACAACGACAATACAAGACAATACAACGACAATACAACGACAATACAACAATACAACGTATACGACAATACAACGACAATACAACGACAATACAATGACAATACAACGACAATAGAACCAATACAACGACAATACAACGACGATACAACGACAATACAACGACAATACAACGACAATAGAAAGACAATGCAACGACAATGCAACGACAATACAACGACAATACAACGACAATACAACGACAATACAACGACAATACAACGACAATACAACGACAATACAACGACAATACAACGACAATACAACGACAATACAACGACAATACAACGACAATACAACGACAATACAACGACAATACAACGACAATACAACGACAATACAACGACAATACAACGACAATACAACGACAATACAACGACAATACAACGACAATACAACGACAATGCAACGACAATACAACGACAATACAACGACAATACAACGACAATACAACGACAATACAACGACAATACAACGACAATACAACGACAATACAACGACAATACAACGACAATACAACGACAATACAACGACAATACAACGACAATACAACAAGAATACAACGAGAATACAACGACAATACAACGAGAATACAACGACAATACAACCACAATACAACCACAATACAACCACAATACAACCACAATACAACGAAAACGACAACGACAATACAACGACAACGACAACGACAACGACAATACAACGACAATCCAACGACAATAGAACGACAATACAACGACAATGCAACGACAATGCAACGACAATGCAACGACAATGCAGCGACAATGCAACGACAATGCAACGACAATGCAACGACAATGCAACGACAATGCAACGACAACAACAACGACAATGCAACGACAATACAACGACGACACAACGACAATACAACGACAATACAACGACTATGAAACGACAATACAACGACAATACAACGACAATACAACGACAATACAACGACAATACAACGACAATCCAACGACAATACAACGACAATACAACGACAATACAACGACTATAAAACGACAATACAACAACAATACAACGACAATACAACGACAATACAACGACAATACAACGACAATCCAACGACAATCCAACGACAATACAACGACAATACAACGACTATACAATGACTATACAACGACAATACAACGACAGTACAACGACACTACAACGACAATACAACGACTATACAACGACTATACAACGACTAAACAACGACAATACAACGACAATACAACAACAATACAATGACAAAACAACGACAATACAACGACAATACAACGACAATACAACGACAATACAACGACAATACAACGACAATAGAACAACAATACAACGACAATACAACGACAATACAACGACAATACAACGACAATCCAACGACAATCCAACGACAATACAACGACAATACAACGACAATACAACGACTATAAAACAACAATACAACGACAATACAACGACTATACAACGACTATACAACGACTATACAACAACTATACAACGACAATACAACGACAATACAACGACAATACAACGACTATACAACGACTATACAACAACAATACAACGACTATACAACGACTATACAACGACTATACAACGACAATACAACGACAATACAACGACTATACAACGACAATACAACGACAATACAACAACAATACAACGACAATACAACGACAATACAACGACAATACAACGACAATACAACGACAATACAACGACAATACAACGACAAGACAACGACAACGACAACGACAATACAACGACAATACAACGACAATACAACGACAATACAACGACAATACAACGACAAGACAACGACAAGACAACGACAAGACAACGACAAGACAACGACAATGACAATACAACAACAATACAACGACAATACAACAACAATATAATGACAATCAACGACAATACAACGACAATACAACGACAACGACAACAACAATACAACGACAATAGAATGACAATACAACGACAATACAATGACAATACAACGACAATACAACGACAATACAACGACAACGACAAGGACAACGACAATACAACGACAACGACAACGACAACGACAATACAACGACAATCCAACGACAATACAACGACAATACAACGACAATACACTGACAATACAACGACAATACAACGACAACGACAACGACAATGACAACGACAACGACAACAACAATACAACGACAATACAACGACAATACAACGACAATACAACGACAATACAGCGACAATACAATGACAA